TTTATTTATTTTAACAAGCCCACCAAAATATATATTTTGTAATAGTTGTTGTCCATACTATCTCTTATTTTACATTTTAATTTCCTATTACGGTGTTTATGTATGTAACATGATACACCAGAGCGTGTGTGTGTGTGTGTGTGTGTGTGTGTGTGTGTGTGTGTGTGTGTGTGTGTGTGTGTGTGTGTGTGTGTGTGTGTGTGTGTGTGTGTGTGTGTGTGTGTGTGTGTGTGTGTGTGTGTGTGTGTGTGTGTGTGTGTGTGTGTGTCTGTGTTTCTGTTTCGGAATGATTGAATGACACCCATGATTACCCTCTCCCACTGCTGGATATGAGGAGGCAGGGCCCCCACTACAAAGAGCTGTCAGGACCATGATGAATGGGAAACGAGAGGTTCCCCTTGTATTCACAAACACACACACACAAACACACACTGAGTTGAAAAGAGGATCCACGTTGTTATATCAACATTATTCAAATTTGAAATGATTGGTATAAAGGGAAGCAGCAGAGAAAGACAGTGAGGGAGGGGGACTCACTCAGTCAGGCAGAAGAAAGCATATCTGCATGCATTAAGGAAAAGTAATGAGTTAAATATAAGCAAGGGGCAGAGTAAATACCTTAAAGAGTGTAAGCCGTATCACCCCTTTCTGTAAATGACATGATGCTTCCCTAAGCATGTAAAGAAAGGATGAAAACAAGCTGAAGCAGATGCAAAGGGGACAATGATGAGGCATGCGTGTATGCCGAATGACTTGAAGTTTTATGAGCTCTCAGGGCCACCGTAGCTTATCAATTACAGAGTCAGTGTAACCTTGCCTTTAACCAGAAATGACTATAAAACTCAGACAAACACTTGGTGTACACAACAACACTTATTGAGCTACATAAAATAAATAGACTGGAACTTAATAGAATTAATAGTAAAAATAAAACGTGCTGTATACAAATAAAAATTGTAGCAGCCAGTATTTTTGCCACTATAATCCTCAAAGTTTTCCGAAATTATGAATTGAGAAAAGAGAAAAGGTGTTCAAGAAAATGACAGCAGTAGTCTTTCTTTGTCATTCAGAAAGGGAAATGCTTCTGCCGACCATTTTGACACCAATCGTACTCACCACTTACTATTGTTCCAGATGAGCTGGCGTAGTGAAAATATCTGTGTATACGAATGAAAAGATGAGATAGACATTAACATTTATTTTCAGTTGTTTGTCTGATTTATAACAGCCAATCAGAGTCCTTTATTTTGCGATGATTTGAGTTTGAGACGAGGGAACTAGAAACTCTGTTGAAATTCGGACTAAGTTGTGGATTTAAGGGCACACTCCTTCACCACTCTATTGCACTATTGTTGTACTTTGTACAAACTAATAAGCCCGGCTTGGTTGTGACGGCTGCTCTCACACCTAATAATATTCGACGAGTGAACATTTAGAAAAACAATACGTACTTCCCAAAATACTGGCATAAGGATTATATTATGAACTTGGTGTCACGAACTTGGAATCACAAGGAACTGAACTCAAAAGCACGACCCGAGAGACAAAGGTATAGAATGCAAAAAAGTACTTTATTCCAAAAAGGATGTACAAAATAAGGATCGACACTCTTGACGAGGTGAAAACGGTTTCAGAAAAGCACAAAAGAAAATCGCTCACAAGGTGAGGAACAAAACTTACTAAAGACTTCTGGAGCATTAATTAGGCTTGAGTCATAATACTTACAGATGTAGCACCCAGTGGCGGCTGGCCCATAGGGGCGCCACCCCCCTCTTCCCAAATTTTAGATTTTCATTAAAAAAAGTTTTTAATGAACAAGGTAAATATGAAATTGTTGGTATCAGTAAAATGTATAATCTACAATAAAATCTTGTTTAAAATTGTGTTAAGATGTCTAAAGTTACTGATAAGTCA